ACTGCAGGGGAAACGTATCAAAACAAATACCTTTTATCAACCATTGATTCCTTGGAATGAATCCGGAAACAGTAAGTTTGTCGCAAGATTACTTGATAATGGTGTAGGTTTATCAAAAAGTTGCATCTGTGATGAGTTCAACATTGAATAGTGAGTAATAATCATATAAAGTTTAATAATTTTCAATAACCATTGACGCAAAACATTTGTACAATATGGTAGCATGGTCATGATAACAGTGAAAAATAGAGGTAACTTCACATTTTTATTTCTTATTATTTTGGGATAAACTTCGATTTTTGGGTTTCAGGAAGCTTTTCCCCATATTTTGTAGAACAAAATTCAATTTTTTTCTGATAATGACGTGTCCTAGATTATGTAATATATAGGAAAACGTAGCTCGTTTTCAGCTCGCTTCATAGGAGCTCCCCCCTTAAGTTAAGCTGATCTTTATTGGTGGTGGTCAGTCCTATCCCTTAGCAACCCAGATATAAAAATTATCGCTTGAATATCAAACTTGGTTCTCATTTTCATGCCAAATAATTTTAATAATTTCGTGTTGGATTCGTTCGAGATAAACCAGACTCATCATTTTACACTATCTACATCACATTTTCGTATGAAAATATCACTGTACTGTTCTATACGTTCCGCTAGAATCAATATCCAAATAAAAAATACTGACCCTCCCAAAGGTAGTTTTTTATTCCATAGAACTCTCTCGAAACATCTCGCACCGAGAAAGGTAGCCAGCCAATCAATGCGTATCTCAGCTGATCGACGATCGAATATCAACCCCAAGTTTTTTTCAAGTCGAAGGTCTGTTAAGTATAAAAAATACAGGTAGAAAAGCTGGTCCAAGTTACGCCTTGTAATTCAAGGTTACTGCTTTTGACCCGAGCCTAAATTTACAATAACCTCAGACTTGAATCTCAGCATAAAAAACCTAACAGATGTCTTTCGTCTTTAGAATTATATCACTAATATGTTTTTAAATGCTATGTTCTTAGTCTACTGGTGGGATTGATTTTCTTTATTTGAGGTGGCAAATCTACAGGCGTTCAATCTCTTTTGAGTCGTATTTCGCCAATATCTAACTATAACAATGCATTACAAAGTAATGAATAAATATATTACTCTGGAAGTAGATGATATTTTTGCCCATACTAATTCCTCTTAAGTACAATACAAGCTTTATTTTCTTAAAGAATCAATTATATTCGACTTTCGTTGTAAGGGGATTATTTATAAGAATTCGTGGATAATATTTTTTAACGAAGTGCTTATGTCCAATACATCATTTAAAGATTTTAATTGAGAGGTAGAGAGAATATTCTATAAGTAGGTAGGTAGTAGTAAATATCAGCATTTTCTCGTTATATTTGATAATGATTACCATTAGCTTAAAACCAGTCAAAAGTTTTAAGATCAGTTTGCCCTGAAGGACCTAAATTCGGTACCCAGACGTTTTTTTAAAAATATATGAGTTTGAAGATCTTTGCTATTACGTAGCAATCTCCACCGAGGCGACAATCTCAAGTCCGGCGCCGACTAAGTTAAAAATTCTATCAAAACGTCATCATAATTTACAACTCAGTGCCGCCTGCGCTCCGGTGTTAGGTTACAGCTTAGGAGCTCTTAAATGTCTTAAATTTTGTGGCGAGACAGACCACAAATTCGGCCATGTTAGTTTTTTTTTAGTAAAGCTGTATGCCTAAGGAAAGCTAGCAGAATGGGGATAGAAAATGTATTGATCTGATAGTCTCCCGAATTACTGTTGCTGATGCCTGAGGAAAGATGCTTCGGAGAACACGTCAAGTTGTTGGGGACCATGTCTGGTGGGGATGCATTGGGAGGCCTATTTAATACTGATTTGTAAATATTTGTTATTTTGTAAATAAAATGTATGGTTTAAAAAAAAAAGCAAATAAATAAAACGCGAAGCGCAGCTTCTGGATAGAGGCTGGCAACACTAAGAAAATTAGAAATGTCATCTGGCCAAAAATACTCCCATCCCAAGTAGTTTAAATAACAAAATAAGTAATCTGTGCGAACAAGTGCAAGCAAACATATCACTTATGTGTATTAAAAAATAGTTGTCGGTTCCGGATATTATCTATGATTGATTACTAGATGGCCGTCGTTGCACAACTAAATCTTTATATGTTTTTTCTTTCTCCTACTGGGTTCATCGGGTCGTACCAATAGTTCACACCAAGAATAGTAGAGCCTACGTTAGAACCACGTTACAATACCTATCATTCAACGTTAGCAGGCAAGGTAAGCTAAACGATGTGATAGTACATTTAGATTTTAAATTAGAAGTCTAACTGCAATTTTATTAATGCGGATAATTCATTTCTGTAACAAAATGAAAAATGATAAAAACAATTTCGCTCAACACTTAATTTAAATTACAGGCGCGGAGATCGGAGCTACAAGATAGAATTCAATGAGCGCGAAAAAGACGTTAAAAAGCGCCCATGAAACTCTCAATTCCAGAGTGAGATTATAAAATTAGTATACAAGATACAGGAAAATGATGGACGGGCCAAAGTTTTTTTTTACTCAAAGAGGCACGCACGGCCAGCTGCCAATTTTGTGTGAAAACGGATTTTTATATTTTTTTTATGAATTTCAAAGTCGCACCGAAACGCTTGCGACCTTCGAATATTGTACGCCGAGTACGATTTTTAATTTTAAAACTAAAAGGCTCAGAATAAGTGGAGAACGTTTTTTGCCAAATCAAGACGTCTTGAACTCTTGAAACGATAGCCGGCAAAAAAACGACTGATGTTCATGACAAAAAATGCGTAGGCATTTCAAATACAATTTCTTGCCGAACGTATCGGCGGAATAATTCCAAATCAATTACAAATTAGCAGCAACATCCGGTCAGCTAAAATTCGGACCTTTAGATACGTCTGTCAGTCATACATAAATAGGTGTATTATATTGGCACAGACAGACCAGCCTTGCGTTTTTTGTGCTCTGTCATCAGAGCAATGACCAAGCTCTGTGAATTTTTACGCTGTTGCTAGGCGATGGTTTTTTATGAGCAGTAGTTTAGTATAATAGCTAAATTTAGATGAGTTACTATGCATCGTTGCCGGGCGAATCTCGGCATGGAGTTTTGGACAAACGTGAATGAAAAAGGTGTGAATTATTTGCTGACTTATCAGTAAAACTAACAATGTAATGCGATGAAATTTTATGATGCCATACGAGTGACTCTTTTGACCAAAAAAATAAGTAACTTTATACCTTATAGAAGGTCAGACTTTCGTCCCTAAAAATAGCCAGTGCCCTGTAAAAGTATCTAAATTTAAAGTCTGTTGCGGTGGCCCAAAAAGTTAGTGGTCATTTTATCTTTATTGGCAAAAAATCGAGGCGCTACACGTGTTTGCGGTTTACTAAAAATGCAGGTTACTTTTGTGTGCGGAATATCTGATTTCTCGAAAGGCTCGATACAGTATGTAAAAAGTTCACTTCCAATACTTGAAGGGGTGGACAAGCAAGAGTAACTGAACAACTTTCCCAAGGAACATCAGTCAAAACAAAAACATTTGCTGCTCTCATACAAAGACGCTCGGTTGTTTCAATCGTTGAGAGGCAAGTTGTTCAGTTTCATAGACAGGTTAACCCACTGAAGTATTATGAGCAGTCACCATCACAATGACAGCCGATGTGGCGCAGTGGTTAGTATGCCTGCCTGCCACGCAAAGGCTCCGGGTTCAATTCCCGGTGGGGTCACAAACAAAGTTGATATTTATCACTTTGTGAATTTGTTCCCAGTCTGGTAAGGACATTGCAGGCTGAACCACCTGATTGTCCGCAAGTAAGATGGTTCCGTGCTTCGGTCCCGGTTGCTGTCTATGATGGCGGTCGTTACACAACCATGTCAGAGACCTGCTACTTGCAGTAGGCGGTTGAAAAACTCTGACACCAGGGTTCATCGGGTCTTTGAACGACTCGGTATCCCACACGAAAAGAAGAAGACCATCACAATATGTTTATAGAAGACAAAGAAACAATGCTTGCGAAGTCAATCATAAATTCTACTTCAAGTCAATATTTGCCGTCTCTTTCTAACAAATAGAAATTTCCCTATCATTAAGTGTCCGTGGAGCTAATTTCACCGGTTGCTAGCTGATTCGCGACCGATTATCGATTTTGTTATTTCTGACTTTTTCCACCTTCTTGTCTATTGTTTTCTAAGCTATAACTTTTGTATCGCTGAATAGAAATTTATTTTTATTTGGTTTTATAATGCTCAGGAAAAACAGGATCAATCTCCTAACTTCTATTAGAATAAACTAGGAGGTCTTGCAATCAAAAAGCGATAGATACGGAAACATCTCAAAGATACCCAGATTAAAGAACAGATAGATATTTCAAATATTTTCTTCCCCTGCCGCGAATCGAACCTAGAACTAACTATTTACCACTACTGCTGTTTCTACACAATAGATCCTCAAAATACATAAATACACATATCTTGCAGGGTAGGCAGAGCGTAAACGGCTGTAAAAAACGGCCATTTGCATCACGCCAAAGTTTGAGAGTACTTCAGAAGACGGTATCAACATGGTGACAGGTCGCTTCTTACAACACCTACCAGAAGAATATGGGGTAATGCTGTTCTAAGCTGGCACCACACGACACAGAATACATTTAATATAATAGATCATCAAAATACATTTTTCAACTTGAATAGGTAATTCATGACATTTCAAGCTTCATTAGTTTAAAAATAACCTATGATCCACGATTGTAACCATCTCCGAAAATCTATAATTTGAATAGTGGAATAACTTTTGTACCGACGACTTCAAAACGTTCATCTATGAAAGTAGAAATACAGTTTAAAAATAATAACTTTTCCTTTAATAGCATAGACAGTTCAGCCCAGTTATGCAAATCATATTTTGTTGCTAAGCGTCCCAACAATCACCGCTGATACGTGACCAGTGTAACTTGAGCCATGACAATCGAAAATTTCACACGAGCGGGATTCGAACCCGCGACTTTCGACATTCAATGCCGACGCTCTAACCACTGAACTATCGTGTGTTCTATTCAAACTTGTTGGTATAGATAGGCTTTTGTTATGGGAGCGGCGTTAGCAACTGCTACGATCTGTTCTCCAAAATTTTCAGCCAGTTTACGTTATTCTTCGCCAAATAACTTCAACTTTAAAATGATAAATATTTCTCTTGGATTACATCATCGAATCCTGGACTGGTATAGGACCATCTGTGGAATAGGTAGGTAATATACTTAAAGAAAAAGAAAACGAATCGATCTAGGTATTTTTGAATAATCGATCCTTTTCCTAAACCGACGAGCGTGCATGAAAATATTGATGAACGTTGGAGAAGCGAAAGAGTTGTGTCAGGATCGTAGCAAGTGGAAGGATGTAGTCACTGCCTACCCCTCCGGGTAAGCGGCGTGATGAATGTATGCATGTATTTCATAAACTCAATTGAATGAATTGAAAATATTGAACCATAGTTCGTATTTAATTGCCGAGTTTCATGTTTCAAGTTATACTAGCCACAAAACTAAGTCAGTGGCGGCCTTGGTCCAACGCTTTGTATGAAAATGATGTGGACGTGCACAAAATCTAGCATTGTTTCAATATCCTACCGTGTATTCTTATTTATATTTATCTTTATGCAATTCGGTTTGAATTTTATTCAGCACTTCTGGGGTTAGGTTAGGTCAATGTTAGTTGAAAACTATTCGTTTGAAGACGGAATACCAAATTTTTGAAACACTTCCTGTGTGTGAGGTACTATTAATTTTACTGGCACGAAGATACCCTTGCATGGTTTCGTAGGCAACGATTGAGCCGCGGTAGTCCAGATGGTAGAGACGCCGCTTGCACTGATAGCGAAAGTTGCAGTTTCAAATCCTGCCTAATGTAGAAAATTATACAAGTTTTCTACCGGAAATTAATAAGGCACTAAAATAGTTACAGACTAGAAATTCGACTTCGCGGTTTCACCTCGTTTAGTATGAATTCCTATAACTACAAATTATCTTTGGGAGTTCCCGCGCGTGTTTCTTGGTAACTATTATTTAGGCTATTCTTTAGCTATGCCGAACCGGGGCTCCGATGCAATTGGCTAAATTTAAAAAAATCAGCTACTTAAAAAAAATTGCCCGAAATTTTGTAGTTTTGATTTAAGTCAATAATGGTAAATGGCACAAAAAAAAACATTGTATGGAAGATAAATGTTACACATAAATTCCTGCACAACTCTGCTCTTAAACTTTTTTTGAGTTAAACACTAGGTATACAAATTACAACATAGCAGTTTTTGCTGGAAACTCAAAAGTATGATCTCTAGATGTGAAGTTGGGGATTCAGAAGTTATGATTTTGACATACAATTTGAAGTTCGCGCCTTCCTTCCGTGTCTGACACAATCGAAAATAGTAGAATAAACTTGATTAACCACGACATTTAGTTAACGGTACCGGAGCACCATATAGTGATATATTTAAAAGATTTAAGTTAACAAGTCAAATCATTAGTTTTTATCGTCCGAGAACCGGTTTGAATACGAGAACGCAACACGATATCTCTACCCGTCATGGTCTAACTCGGTTGCTATGTGCAGTTTTCGGCAGTGTACTTGGGCTGGCTATATAGGCCCGATTTGACATATAACGCTATGGACTTAAAGAGGAAAATCCGATAAAGGTTGCCTGGAAGACATTGCTTCTGAGCAATATGGCCTCCTATTTGTATATCTCTTTTTATTGTGTGGTTCTTTTATTCTTGCAACCTTTTTGTTAAATAAAGTATATTCTTATACCTTTATTTTTCTTTGACCTGTGATGTTGGTTTACAAAAGCATCACAATACTTCTTCCCATAAGTCTTGGAGACATGACTGGGGTTTGTTTTTTGGACTATTACGATATCTCTACCAGTCATAATCGAACTTGGTTGCTATGTGCAGTTTTCGGCAGTGTACTTGAGCTGTTTTAACAAGTTCGATTTGCATTGCTACCGCTATGGTATAAGTCATAAGACTATCGATGGCACACTTATTGTTCTGCCTTTCACAATGATGGACCTTCTTCTTCGATTGGGACACCAAGTCGTTCAACGACCTGATGAACCCTGCACCTTGAATGATGGACCTACACAATGCCACAGACGATGCTGTACAAATTCATATAAAATCGCCAGAACCGACTCGTCATCGATGCTGGCTTAGAATAGCATCACCATATTATTTTCCTGAAGGTGCCGTAAAGAAAAGATGTGGCGATTTACAATGAATCTGACGATAACTTCGTGTGGTGCCGGCTTAGAATAGCAGCACCCCATAACTTTCCCTTGGGTGTCGTAAGATGCGACTACAGGATTTGAGGGTTGAAGTGTATTTAGGCGACAGGCTGACAACCTGTCAATATGGTGATACTAAGTTTTCTGATTGACTCAAACTTTTGTCAGACGTGGTGTAAATAGTCGCTTTTTACAGCCGTTTACGCTCTACCTACCCCGAAAGAAATAAAGGCGTGAATATGTATGTAACCTTCAAGGTTTTCTCGCGGGTCAGGAACAAATACAGTTCACAGGCCAGAAATAATAGGCAAAGATAAAGAATTAAATGGAACATCTTAGTTGAATCGTATCTCGGCTTTTAATCTGAAAGTTGAGATGCTACCCATCAGTTACCTATTGAAGTAACTACTGTATCCACTTTGAAGATAGTGGGACTAAACTTTAGTAAGATATGATTAATGTAATAACTTTAACAGATAATTATTTCATATTTCAATTTTCGACGTCCGATTTCTGGCCAAACAAAAATGAAAGGTCGCCAATAAAATAAAGAGCATTTTAAATGGTGACACAGTGGCCAGTAACATTACACAATCGTAAAAAACACTATTTACATGATATACCATATGTTCAGTGTTATACATAGACATGGGAGTAAAGATCATCCTAACCTTTGCATTGATTTTAATTTTTAAATTAAAATGTAAATACCGGCCCGTTAGCGGTTTCCCCCGCTGCAACTCATTTTCCCGCGGGAAAAGAGCATTTTTCCGGCATGTCTTACACACATAATTCTTCCTCTTGAATCACGCTATCTATTACATTAAAAACCGAATTAAAAACCGAATCAAAATCCGTTGCGAGGTTTCGGACGAATTAGCAAAATATAGACGGAGAAACGCAAAATGCGACTTCATGTTATATTATATATTGCCCAGCAGTGGGACACTTCAGGCTTATAATACTAAAATAATATTAATAATTGATAATATACCTATGTCTTACTTTGCAGTATAGGTACAAATTTCACACCCTTTGTCATTTAACAGCCGTTGGGAGGCTAAAATAAAGGCGACATTTTAAATTTGCATGTTATGAGGTAGTAACCTCAGAAATAAACTTTTATAGTTGCATTCCGCTTTTGCAAATGTTCTCACAAGATTATTTTTTCTTTGTTCCAAAGAGACTTGGGTTAAATATACTGAGAATTCTGAATTTTATGGTTTGCATTTGTGTGCTAAAGTTTCAAAATATGGGTAAACGAGTCGTAATTTATAAATATGAGAAAAGTTGAGCTAAGAGTGGACACACATAGTGTACATAAAGTACGATTCAAAGTAGTAAAACAAAGAACATAAACTTATTAAAACTATCCATTCATTTATTCTTTATGTAGCCTTTTCTATATCTCACTGCAGGGTAAAGGCGAATGTAATAATATAAATTAAATATATGTGTAAAAGCAAATATTATAAAGGGCGAATCAGTCCACCTACCCCGCAAGAGATGTAGGCGTGATATACGTGTATTTATTTACTATTTCTACTGAATTTTTAGGAGGCGAAAGAAGAACCTATGAAAGGAACTCAACTTCTGCCTACACTCCCGGGAAAGAGGCCTGATTTATGTATGTGTTACCGGCCAAACCCGATTTTAGGATAAACTAGTTTTTCCTAGACCAAAGTAGTTTATCCTACATGCGGTTGGATAAACCGGTATAGACTAGGCTAAACCGGTCCATCCGATGGCCGATAGGAGAAACTAGTTAATCCTAGGCTGAACTAGTTGAGCCTAAAATGAATTAGTACATTTCAGGATAAACTGGTTTGGCTTAGTTAAAAATGGTTAAGGCTACAGTGACGTAGCTCTAGAGGGTAAAGGGTAACGTCGGACAACCTGGAGACATCGGACACCCTGGAGACTCGAACACCCTAGAGGGTGGGGTGTAGCATTGGACATCCTGAAGGCTCCGACGCCCTGGAGGGACGCCTTAGAGTGATGTAGCTCTAGATAGAGCGTAAAGTGAGGCTCGATTGCCCTGGAGGGTCGGGGTAGCGTCAGACACCATGTAGGCCCTGATGCGAGCACTTGCAACGTCGCTGTCGGCGATAGCTCTCACGAGCTGTCACATCACAGGTGTCTGTGGGAGTCCAGCCCACGGCAGGCAGCGTCCGAGCATTTAGGGTGTCCGATGCTACCTCGCATCCTCCAGGGTGTTCGAGCCTTACAGGTGTTTGATGCCTCCAGGGTGTACGTAGTGCCTCACAATAGGGCGTCCTTCCAGGGCTTCCGAGCCTTCAGTATCCAATGCTACACCCCACCCTCTAGGGTGTTCGAGTCTCCAGGGTGTCTGATGTCTCCAGGATGTCCAACTTTACCCTTTACCCTCTAGAGCTACGTCACTGTAGGCTTAACCATTTTTAACTAAGCCAAACCAGTTTATCCTGAAGCGTACTTATTAATTTTAGGCTCAACTAGTTCAGCCTAGGATTAACTAGTTTCTCCTATCGGCCATCGGACGGACCGGTTTAGCCTAGTCTATACCGGTTTATCCAACCGCATGTAGGATAAACTACTTTGGCCTAGGAAAAACTAGTTTATCCTAAAATCGGGTTTGGCCGGTAACATATGTAATTCGCTACCAATCAAAACATTAAAATTAATAAGAACAAACACGCGCTAATTCGCAGGAAACAATTTCAATCATTGGAGTGCATTATTAAACCACTCCAATTATTAGTTCAACACATTCTGCTTGGCTATAATTGC